GCATGTCCTTTTATTTTTGCTCTTACCCCCTTTTTTTTTCTATGTACTTGGCCCAAGCTTGCTCTGTAGAGCTAATTTCTCTCTCACTTTTCACTTTTGTGTTCTCAAATAAACTTTGTCACTGTTTTCTGCTCGTTTCATTCAATAACTTGATTGAGACAAAATGAACCTGGAATCCAACTCTGGAAAGAGAAATGAGCAACCCTGAACCTGGTAACATTTATTTGGTGAGCCACCTTCTAGAAGTGTTAGGATCATGGCGATGCTAAACACATCAGTGGATGAGTTCACCAATGAGTTCCTAGTGTGGGACCCTAAAAATTGGGCCCAAATTCCAAGACCCCCCACTTAGCCTAACTAACTCTATTTTGAGCTGAAAAGCCATCTGGTGTCAGGGCCAAACTTCAAATTAACTCAGGCAGTAAAAATTCGCTCGGTTTGCTTAATTTACTTAGTTGCGATAAGAACAGAATCAGGTGGATGGGAGGAAGGCCATTCCAACCTCAAGGAGAAAGAACAGGAGGTCCTATACAGATAAGAAGAGTACACTGCATCCTTGAGCATACTAACCCCTTTTTGAACCGACCCCCTCCCTAAGCTAAAGTAAACTCCTTCCCACTTTTGCAAGAGCCCCAGCAACATCCAATAGATTTAGAAAATTAGAAAAGAAGCCAATAGAATAGAAAGAACTTCAAGCCACCCAAACCCTATAAAAATAGGTTACTTTAATGGGTCAGGACTTCCAGTTTGGAGCCGCTGCGACGGTGACACTGGGAGTCCAGGCTCAAGCTTGCAATAAACTCCTTGCGTATTTACATCAGAAGAGTTTCCTGGTGGTCTTCTTGGGGATTTTGAGACTTGGGCACAACAATAGCCGTATGTGCTGTTAGGAGATGGGGGTTGATGGGAACAGGAAAGTCACAGGAAGCATGACCTGGAAGGGTGTGTTCTTGTCCTGGCCTCCTTCAATGTTTCTCTGCACCCAGGCTGCTGTAGAATAAGCAGCTTTCCTCTGCCATGCCCTTCCACCATGCTGTTTCTTTCTTGGAGAGAGCTAACTATGAACTGAACCCACTGGAAACTGTGAACATCTTTAAGTTGTAACGTTGGGTATTTTGTCTAAGTGATGAGTAAGTGACTAAGATACTGTACATTCTGTGCTTGCACGTGTATAACTGCAAAAAATCACATGCAATTGCACACCTATTTCATTTTTTTGATTGGTTGTAACAGTTTCAAATTATTTTATTAAGGACAGTTGGCAGGGCAGGGTGGTGAATGCCTATAATCCCAGTACTTGGGAAGCAGAGGCAGGAGGATCACTGTGAGTTCGAGGCCAGCCTGGACTACATAGTGAGTTCAAGGCCAGCCTAAACTACATAGTGAGACCCTGTCTCCAATAAATAAATAAATAAATAAATAAATAAATAAATAAATAAAAAGAAAGAAAGTTGTAGGAATAGCACAAATATTTGCCAATTATCCTTTATTCAGGTACCTTCATTATGAATATTTCCATGCTTGCTTTATTTATTATTCTGTTTGTTATGGCTTGCATCTAAGTATACCCTGAAAGCCTTATTCAGTCATAGGTGAGGAGTTTCCAAGGTGGCTGGATTAGGGTGTGTGAATGTGGATTAATTTGTCCATCGCCACCTATAATCCTTCACATTTAGCAGGAAGTACATGCACGTGATGGCGATACAGACGGTCGCAATGCACAGGATGACCAGCAGCAACATCGTGAAGCCACTGACATAATACAACTTCTATGCCCAGAAAGACATGAAGATGAAATACATTTCAATAAAGATTTAGGCAAAAGGTAAAATATCTCCCAGGCAGACAAAAGCTGCAAGCTCTATAAACCATTTTTTCTCTGGTTATATTGACATGGCAAGGGAAGTTGGGCTGGCCTGACAGATTTTAGCCAACTATTGTACCAAGAAGGCTTAGAAGAAGAATAACAAAAAAACTGATGCAACAAACAGTCACCATTGTGGCTCTTGAAGCAGGGTAGTAAACGACTATAAAATTGATGAAGAAGGCAGTGCCACACACCATAGCTGGGATAAGAAATGCCCCAATAAACATCTGCTTCATCCATCTCTTTTGTCCTTGCTAGTGTACAGACCTTCTCCAAAGTAAACATTCACTGGAAATGTAGCAGCATCCACAAATATGGCTGTACTGAGTGAGTACTGATCCTCTCTATATATATAAATCTTCTATCATCCCAACAATAATAACAATAAGAGACAGTGAATGTCTGACACCCAGAGCCAGCAAGAGAGGAAATATCAGTGGGTGACTCAGTGGTTGAAATACATCTCCATGCACCTGTTTCCATTCATACACATCTCCCAGGTCTCTATCTGTATCATTCATTTCTTCTTTACTGGGCCAAGCATAATCTTTTCTTAAAGTTCTCATTAAAATCATTGAGACTAAGCTCACCAAGAAGAACACAATGAAGGAGTTGAAAATTGAAAAAAAAAAAAAGAAAGAATTCTATGTTGAAAAAAGAACAGATCAAGATATTTGTTTATTAGATCATCAAATTTTATATCTGATTTTTTTCACTTTACTGAATACATGTGAATTTTAGTATTTGGAAACAGCTTCACCTTTCCTTTACTAGTTAGATTAGTATGAACAATTCCATTGCCATTAAAATGTATTTCAAAATTTTTATAGGTCTAAAGATAATAATCTTTTCCATTTTCATCTGCTTCTTACAGAGAAGTCACCTATGTACATCTGCTACCAATAGTGAATTTTTAATAGCATACACAAATGCATCTCTTTTCTTTTCTCTCTTTCTTTTTTCTTTTGGTACTGGTGTTTGAACTCAGGAGGCAGCCCTTTTCTCTCTTTTCTTTATCTAAGTCAGTTTCACAATAAGTAGTTGGAATAACATCATCTTTAAATTTTATATCCAGACCACTGAATTCCAATTCACCTCCTTGAAGTGCTTTTCCAAGAGTTTCATGGTAGTGACTGATACTTTTTTATGGCCCCAACACAGAATGGAAGTGAAAAATACTTGTGTGTTTCTTGGCGATTATGGTAGAGCCCAATACTATTCATCCATATGACAACTTCTCTTTATCTTTTTTTTTTCTCTCTTTATCTCGATACTATAAGGTATAGCCAGAAGAAGGGGAGCAGGATTTTGAGGAATCACAACAGTGCCCCAGGGGATCTCTGAGCATGTCAGTAATTGTTTCTAATGAGGCAGCTGGGGAAGGGGTGAGGAGAAAAGTTCCAAGAGAGGCCTCAGGCTGCTGGCCTTTAGGTGGCCAGCTAGGATGAGTGACCATGTTCTCACCTCTAGTTTTTAATGCTTGCCTCACCACTAGGCTCTAAGCCAGCTTGGGCGGGAGGGAGTGGGAAGGAAAACTGGAGAGAATCAGGAAATGGTGGCTGTTTCCTGGTGAGCATTCATCTTTCATGATATAGTAGCCCCAGAGAGCCAAGGAGGAAGCAGTCCCAGTCCCGGGGTGCAGCAGACCTCCAACAGCTTTTCTTCTACATTCACTTCCATCTTACGTTCTACTTCACTGAAAAATATCAGTGGCCCTCATCAAAGGCCACCTGAGATATACCTATACTTAACACTAGGCTTGACTCATTGCAGTGATGGTGAAGGCACCCTGTGGAGAACTGCAAGGGCTTCACAGTGAAAAGGTGTTAGAAAGGACTTACCATGGATTTGGATTTGTGTTCAGTGATTTTGAAGGAGGATTTAAGAAGTGAGCTTTTGTCCTGGAGTAGATATTGTCAAGAGGTTGTGCTCATTGTATGGTTGAACATCTTAATAAATCTTATCTAGAAGGCAGGGGAATAAAGTGAAGCTAAAGCTAAAACAGGCAATGCAGGAGTCTTCATTCATATTAGCCTACCTGGGGATATTTAGTCATTTTTTTGTGGTTTGAGCTATGGTTATGTTTTCGTTTCTGTTGAGATGTAAATCACATTGGACTTGTTTTGGTCTCATAGTCATAGGCTTTGTTTAATACTGTGGGTTGTGAAGTTTCTTGTGTTTAACAGAATAGTTTATTCAAAATTTTGTAGGGCAAGGATGAAAGCCTGTCCTTTATGGACTATGCCATTAGATAATTATCTCACTGTCTGACTTTTTGTAGAACTAGATTTAACTCTTTTTACCTTTCTTCAACGTTATGATTATTTTAAAAATATTGAAGTAGTAAAAAATATTACCCAAGAGAGGTATAGTCTCTTCTTAGATGCAATAATCATTACCATTTTGATATTTTTGCTCTCTTCGTATACTTACCTTTTTTGAAGCATTTGAAAGCAAGTTAGCAGACATGACATCCCTAAATTCTTCAGAGCAAATTTGTTAACTCCGTTCACTGACACAACCACAAACTATTAACTACCCACAAATGAATATCCATACATTTATACATGGGCCGCTAAATTATTACATTAACAACAACTCTAATATACACATCATATTCAGTCTTCTTCAATTGTTCTGTCTTTCATACCTTTTTTTGGTTTTGTTTTGTTTTTGGTACCGGGAATTGAACTCGGGGCCTTGCGCTTGCGAGGCAGGTAGCCACACCACTGAGCTAAATCCCTGGCCCCCTTTATAGCTATTTTTTGAGAACGAAGAACTCAAAATACTCAACTTTTTTGAGTAACTTCAATACCTTCTTCAAAGGAACATGATTTGATCATGCAATTCAGTTTTTCGCGCTTTGGACAAAGTATACATTGCCCGGTAGACTCAGGAGTTTGAAGTTGGGATGTAAGGATCATCCCGAGCATAACACAACTAATTTTGTTTTAGGGATTCATAAGGATCCTGATTAACCATCTTGTTAGCGAAGAGCAAGGGCACTCAGACGCCGGCAGAGGGCGCAAGACGCCACGGCAGGCCCCCAGGTGGTACTCCGAGGGCCGACGGAAGCCCGCGCGGGGTCCGG